GGCTGTTGTCCCAGACCGTGGGGTCCCGTCGGTGACATCAGGCAAGAAGCGCTAGGATCATAGTCAGAACAGCTAAGGCTTTACACAGCACGTGCAGACAGAGAAGCGCTAACCTCTGACTCACCAGCGAGCTACCCAATCCTTACAGCAGGCCAGGAAGTGGGTGCAGAGACCCCACTTTCAGGTGAAAACCCTGGGACCCAGTCCGGGTGTGTCGCCCGCCAAGGTTCTCCGGGCACCGTCCACACTTCTCTGTCTTGGCGTTGATGATAGTTATGACCCGGTTTTCATGCATGGTCCAGGAGCGGTGGCTCCGCCCGGCCCAGCCTCAGCCTCCCCCTCCACCAGGCCACCCACCTGCGAATGGTCAGCAGCCATCTCGATGGTCCCCATCAACCTGGGTAATACAATCTAGCACAGACCCGGAGATCCCTGTCCCTGTCCTAACAGCACAAAACTCGACTCTCCCGCCTGTGGTAACGCTGACTCGCTGACAGTAATATGGAGGCAGAGAATGTCCAATTACATATAGCATGTCATACTTGAGAATGACAGTCGCTCACTTAACGTGTTTACCTGTCTAGTGTATGCTGTACATATGAAGGCGTTCCTGTGTCTACTCTTCTATATTTTCCATGTTCATGCGGTGCATCTATGGTGATTGAATGTCTGCTATTTATGCCTTCCACCTGTGTGGTGCTCTGGGGGCTGTAGGCCCAACCACTCATGCATGTAAATTCGGGGGCAGAAAGGGGTATGTTGAGTGTCTTCCTCTATCGATCCTCACCTTCACTTTAGGGGCAGGCTCTTTCACCACGCCTTTTCATTATTAACTAATTTAATTATATTTTAGGTAGAGTCTTGTGTATCTCAAGTTAGTCTTGAATGAGGTGTGTAGCAGAGGATGACCTTGAGCTTCTGATCCTCCTGCCTCCCTACCCCCAAGTACCGGGGTTAGAGTCGTAAGCGACCACACCCAGCCACCTGCTTGACTTCCGTTGTTATTTAGTGTGAACTCTACTCAAAAAACATGTTTGCTGTGAAAACAAGCCTTTCTAGGGCATCTCCTAGAGGCCATGCCTGACAAGCCTGCATGGTTAGGTGTGTACACACACACACACACACACACACACACACACTCACCCCAGCATCAAGCCCAGGGCACTCACAGGGGCGTGCTCCTGCACCGTCTGTCATTCTTGCTCCATGTCTACCCTGCCCACTTCTCAAATGAGGGCAGCGAGGGACAGAGGTGAGCTGGCACTCAAGGTCACAGGAGGCCGAGGCTTGATTCCCCCAGGTGTCTCTGAGCGCAGTGAGGAGCCAGCCCTGGTGATGACTCTCAGCTGGGAAGGGCCTGCAAGGAAGGGAAATCGGGCCTGGAAACCCATCAATCCCATCAGTGGCGGGTCAGAGTTGACCTCACCACGCTGTTTTTTAAAAAGGCAAAAAGTGCAGCTAACAGGATTAACTGCCAGCCCAGCCCCACCTGATGAGAAATCTTTCCATTTCTTCTGCCCCTGAAGGTCACCCGCTCTCTGCTTCGAATCTAGCCATTAGCAGTGAGTTCGGAGACTGGCCTCCCTCCTGTCTTTGATTACGGCCCCTCCCCCGCAAGCAAGGCACAGCTCCGCTGGAGGCTGCTGCTCCCTTCTCCTCAGTCCCCGGGCAGCATGCACGCTGTGCGCCGCCGCCTCATTATCCCCAACCGTCTGCTCTGCATCCTCCAGACACCAACACTTGCCATCCCAGCGAGGGCTTATGTTTACCGAAGTCAGCTCCCTTTCCCATATGTATGTTGGGAAGGAAGATTGGAACGTCTGAGCCTGAGCATGTAACCACATTGTCAGCAGACCCCTTAAAGTCAGAAAAGGCTCCACTGTCAGCCGGTGTGCCTTTCTTGTCTCTTTGTGTGTTAATTAGAGTATATTGTGTCTTTTCTTTAAGACTTCACGATGACATTTACACATGTAAATAATGTATTTCTATCAAATTCATCCTTCTCTTATCCTCCCTCTCCTACTGGTACCCCCCACAGTCTCCCCTCTCTTTTAATTTGAATAGAGATTCTGATAATGAGAAGAAAAATGTGATTTGCCTTTTCGAGTCTGCCTTATTTCACTTAACATGATGACTCCAGTTCTGTTTCCCTAAAAATGATGTCGTTTCCTTCTTGATGGCTAAATAATACTCCACCGTGCTTCTACGGCATTTTCCTTATCTGCTGTTGATGGGCATCTAGGCCAGACCTATTTATCTACTGTGATTAGAGGGGCAGGAGAGACTGGTGTGCAGGTGTTGCTGAGCTGAAGTCCTTTGGCTCTGCCCCAGGACTGGCAGATCTGGGTCACATAGCTTTCCACAGTGATTTCCACAGTGGCTGTGGCAGTTTATAGCACACACTGCCCAGCCCCATGGTAGCAGTTGGGGCCCAATATTCTGCAGGCCCATCACTAGTTCCAGTGCCCCTATATGGCTGGTCAAGATGCTACTGGGACCACTGACTTGGATTCAGCTCTGATGGAAGATCAGGATCAACCACCACAAAAAAAAAGAGTCAGAAAGGGTCCTTGAGGGGTGGCAAGACTCTGAACAAACATAGGAAGCACTCTGATGGGAGGGCAGAGTGGGCACCGGTAGCCAGGGCATCACTAGGCAGTCAGACACACTTGCCAGCATGGAACACACCCGGGTCTAGGGCATGAGGTTGGGTTGCTGAGGGTGAAGAATCTGGCACTTGTACCCCAGAACTACGCTGGAGTGATTGCTTAGATCCAACTTCTTATCTTCTCACTGCACATGCATGAAGGCTCCTCCCTTCTAACCCAAAGGAGCTAAGAACAACAACAGGCTGGGCATGGTGACACACTACTGTGATCCCAGCACCTTGGAGGGAGGGGCATCTGTGGGCTAGGCCAGCCTGAGCTATAACCGTGAGACCTTATCTCAGAAACACAAGCAAAATAATAACAGAAGTTGTAATTGTCGTGCTAAGAGTGACAACAAGTCATAATAAAAGCGGACAAGAAGTGTTTCTTTACAGAGCCAGCGGTAAGGGACCCCGGTGTCCCACCAATCTCCCAATGCCCGTGGAAGGCTTTAAGACACCTGGAGCCATTTCTGTCCATCCACCAGAACACACATTTCCCTCTGTGCCCTCCAGCCAAGTTGACCAGTGAGGACTTCACTGAGGCCCTGTTTGAGGCAGCTCTGAGAAATGGCTTCCTGAGCCCCTACCCTCCTGTCCTTGGACTGCAGTGACTAATGTGCTGGGAAACAGTCACCTCCTGGATCCTCCTCCCAGACACCCATTCCATAGAAGAGATCAGGAGTTTCTGGGCAAAGACGGAACAGCTGGTCCCTCCAAGATCAATCCCTTCACAACCCTGCTCTGCCATTCTTGGAGGCGGGAATGGGAAGCAGCCAGTCACATGCGCAGTCAGAGAACGACGAACGCGTGCAGCTCTCTTTCTCTGCTCCTACGCTTCAGGACCCAAACCCAAGCAATGGTGCCGTCCGCTTTCAGGCCACTCCTCTCATCTCAACTGACATATTTAAGAAAAGTCCCTCCTGGGTATACCTCGGGCCAACCCAGTCTCAGCAGTTCCTCATTGAGGCTCTGCCCACGTGGCTCCCGATGGTGTCAAGTTGACAGTTAGTGTTCACCATCCTCATCTTCCCAACCTTGAGCCAGGTCTTTTTTTCCCAGCGGCTCTTGGGGCCAGCTCTCACAGAACCAAATGGTCTTGGGTCCATCTCCGACCTGCCAGGCTTAACTCATAATCCTCTAACACATCAGTGTAGCTTGGATGGAAATACATGTTGGTTGGGTCTCCATTCCTATCATGGACCCCCATGTACGTTTCTCCCCCACTGACTTCACCTTTCGTCTTGGTCTCAGTCAGAAGGCCCTGGGCTCCATTCCCACAAGTCAGCACCTTCCTTCCACGTAACGATGTCAGTAGGCCAGTGACCAGGCCCCTCAGTGGGCTAACTAGAGTCTTAAACAGTACCAAGTAACTGTTTCTCCCCAATGCTGACAGCACAGCTCCGAGTATTGCCCCTCCCCCCACATTACAGAAGAATAAACTGAGGCAGAGAGTCCTGAGTTGGGGTGGCAAAGGAGCTTGGACTGGCTAGATATGAATTTCATGCTCAAGACATGGTACCAGGATGAGGGTCTGTAAGGGAACCAGGTAGACACGCAGAAAGCAGGTGCTGTGTAAGGGACAGGCATACAGGAAGAAGAGGAGTGACAATGTGGGACAGGAAGACAGCAGCCGTCTCTAAACGGTAGCAACGCTAGCAGCCCGAGGTTGGTTGATATAAGAAACTGTGGCAATCCAGAAGACATACCAAACCACTAGAAGGGCTGAGGGCCAACGCCCTTCGGGAAGGGCTGGAACCAGGTGATTTTTCTCCGTGGAACCCTGTGAGCTTCCCTCTTGGTCCACCTCAGTGGCATGCTCAGAGTCCTAGAGAAGGGCAGTGACAGCTCAGTTCTAGGTCAACGATCAATTATTTGTGTCCATGATAGCAAGCTCACAGCAAAGCATGGCAGCTCCTGGGAGAAAAACAGGCTAGAGCCATGGACCTGGCCATGGTGGTTTCTAGGAAAATGCAGGGCTGGGTGCAAGGGAGAGCACAGGGCAGGCAAAGGCATAGGCAAGGCTCAAGGTCAGGTAATGGGATTAGGGATGATTGTAGCTCAGGTGACAGAGACTTAGTCACCCAGCACACTTAGCAATAGGACTTTTGCCCATGTCGAGTCTGGAGTCGGGTGGCCCTCCGGGCTGGGATGAAAGGGCCCAGTAAAGGCACCTCATGTGGCTTTGCTCTATACCTGCAGCATCAGCCCCTCCCACCCCGGTCTCCCGGGGCGCCATAGTTCAGACAAACCTAGAGCTGAGCCTGGGTTTACAGTGACCGGCTGTTCCCAGTGGGTGGTGCTGGCCTGGTGGGGTGGTCAGGCTCTCACCTGCTCCTGCCTCCTTCTCCAGGGGTGCTGTGGCTGTCGGTGGTCTCCGAGGTGCTCTACATCCTCCTGCTGGTGGTCGGCTTCAGCCTCATGTGTCTTGAGCTTTTCCACTCCAGCAGTGTCATCGACGGGCTCAAGCTCAATGCCTTTGCTGCGGTCTTCACGGTGCTCTCAGGTAAGGCTTGGGTAGCCGCCTGGGTGGGTTACCTGCTCACCTCTGTTTGCTCAGCACCAGGGGATGCTGTACGTCCGAGCCTGGGTACGTCCTCTGAGAATGGAAGAGTGCAGGCTATTGATTCTCCTCTGAGGCCAAACCTACCATTTATTAATGTCCACAGCGTGCTGGGTACCACAAGGGTCGGGCTTTATAGTGATGCGCACACAGCTAGGGCCAGCCGTGTGATGCTTAACGTGAGTGTGAGGTACAGCTGGGCTGTGCGTTGGATTTGGGCATGAGACGGGGAGGTGATAGGGAGGGTGCATGGGGTGGGGCTCTCACAGAGGCTACAGAGGAGGACTCCTTCTGGAGAGGTCGCTGTTTAGTGGCAGAGCACACGCATCACATGCGTGAAGACCCAGGTTCCATCCCTAGCAGCGGAGGCCAGGACGAGAAGAAAGGTAGGAGGAGAGAAGGAGGGAGAGAGGAAAGAAGGAAATCGTAGTCCATTCAAAATGAAGACTTCTCCCCCACTTTAAGCCTCTTCCTAAGGAGGCGCTGAGGAAGAAGCCCACCCCCTGGTAGGACTCAGATTGAGAAAAAGCACACCAACAAAAGACCGCTGACCCCAGTGGCCAGGTGGCTAGCAATGGTATCTCCATACCCAAGTCCCAGAGGGCTGAGAAGGGAGTGACCTAGAAGGACATTGAGGTGCTGGCTCTGAAGCTGGCTGGCCATGCTGGCTGGCCTCTGAGCCACATGTCCCTAAAAAGCCACATGCAAATTGAATTTCTATAAGCCCTACCATCCCATTCTTCACTCGCTGGAAGATCTGTGAATGAAACGGAGTAGTGGGACCTTTGACGAGGGAGGCGACCACCTCTAATTGAGGCGTGGGTAGAAACCAGAGGGATTTCTCAAAGAACGGAGAGCTGAAGTCAATGCCTTACACAGCCTGCTCCCCAGATCAAATGCGCTGTGAGGACCCGGGGAGCCCAACACAAGGGACAAAGGTTGAGCAATAGTAGCGCAGCACCTGGCTGCATCCAGTTCCCTGCTGCTCTAGACCGAGACCCCCTCCTGCCCTTTGCTTCCGTCTTTCATTCCTTTACTCTGTCAGCATCCACTGAAGGTCTGCTGCGCTCCAGCCACTGGCCTGAATTTGGGGGAGGGGGAAGAAGGAAAAGAACTCGCTCTTGTGACGTGTGCTGTGTTGTAATGTAGAAAGATGTGAGGTTACCGTAATGTGGCCTGGGCACTTCTCCGTCCCAGGCAGGAGGAACGTCCACACCTACGCAGGGAGCGTGGTGATGAACTGAGGTGTGAAGGAGCCAGCCACATGTGGACCTGGGAGCCGGTCTGTGTCCTTGGCAGAAAACTGGGGGGAGGGGGGCAGTGCAGGCAAATGGGTCGGGAGGAGTGTAATCCTGGGTGCTTCAGCTGTTCAGATGGCGGGACGGCAGGAGGTGGGTGAGGACCTTGCTGATGGTCACAGGCCTCCCAAGTTCATCCTGCAGGCGGTGGGAAGTCAGCGAGCAGTTCAAAGCAAGGGGATGAGGACAGAACAGAATCAGCTTTGCACGTGGGGGTGAGTTCTGGGTTCAGGGTGGAGCCTGGATAGAACCGAGCAGAGTGGCACCAGGGAGCTGAGTACAGGCGGGTCATCCCATGGAGGCCTGAGACAGGAGGATCACAAGGACCAAGACTAGCCTGGGCTACAGACTGAGTTCAAGACCGGTGGGGTGATTAAAGATTAAAAGGAGAGCTGGGATACAGCTCAGTGATAGTGATTACATAGCACATATGAAGTCCTAACTACCATTTCTAGTACTAGGTGCCCAGGGATGGGCGAGGTTCAGGGGGCAGAGGCACAGAGAGCCAGGGAGGCAGTGTGGTTGTTAAGATGGGAAATAGTGGGTACAGGAGATTAAAACGGGCACCCCTCCATGCAGAAGGTGAGGCCCCCAGGACTCTGAGCTGGTGAAGGCGCAGCCAGTCAGGGAATGGCAGAGAGGCGAAGCCGGGCCTTGGAGTCCACAGAAATCAGAGTCCGTGAACCGGTTTGGAAAAACAATTTATACCCTTATATCTGCAGCTTGTAAATGTCACTCGTCATTTCCTCCCACCGTGGTGATGGGGCAGGCGCTGGGACGCAGTGGCCTGCGGCATCCATCCTTCCCGCATCCCACGGAGACTGCCGCAGGTGGACAGAAGTGCAGCCTCCGGAGCAGGGCATTTATTAGGCATCCACCAAATCGTGTTTAACATGCTCACAAAATGGTGTGCGTGTTCCCACATGAAGAGGCCGGGTGCTTTGCTAAATGTAATTCCTGCCACCGGCTCCCTCTGTAACCGCATGTGTTTATTCTATGCAGCTGAAAAGATTATTCTGAGAAGGGGTCCACAGCTCTAAATGGCCAGGGAGCCCCTGACCCAGTTTTGCAGAGGTCCTCCCTTGCTGGCCCTTGCTTTTAGACAGGCTGAGCAATGGGGTGACTAAGAAGATGGGGGGGGGGACCAAGAGGGAGAGGTCAGAGAGCTGGAGGGGGCTGGGCATGCTCTGCTTGCAGCACACTGGTCCCCTATTCTTGCCAGCAGCCTCCTCTTCCTTTTCCTCTGCCCCTCATCCAGGCACCCGTCCCACTGCCCCCAAGTCTCCATCCCTCCTCTCTACTTCTTCAGTCCAAACAAGTATGTGTCAGTTGTCAGGCAAAACAGCTGTAACGATTAATATTGTCAACTGGACAGGATTTAGAATCACCTAGGAGACAAGCCTCTGAGCACATCTGTGAGGGAGTTTAGGCTGGGCTAACGGAGGAGGACCCATCTTCACTGTGGCCGGCGTCGTTCCATGGGTTGGGCTTGCACAGAAAGGAGAAAGGCAGCTGGGCCCTACACGTCTCCCTCTGCCTCCTGATGCTGACGCCATCTTGCACTGGGCGTCCATGATAGATTGTACCCTAGAACTGTGAGCCCAAAAAAACAAGCCGTTCTCTAAGTTGCTTTGGTCGGGAATTACAGCAATGAGGAAATGCTGGCACAGCCCGTACTGCCATCCCCCTCAGCTTCTTACGGGGTTGCTGAGGTACTCTGTCTTCTTCTACAGGCTCATTGCAGCCTCTGCCCATCAAAAATAAAATAAAAAAAAACGTTCTTCCTCCCAGCAGGGAGGCCTACCGCTAGAGCTCCGAGAGCAAACTGGCTGTCTCCATACATCTCCAGACATCTGAACAACCAGGGCTCAGGGAGGTTAATTGACTTGCTCTGGGTGGCACAGCTGGCTGATTGTGACACTGGAATTAAGCCACTTCAGACTGGTTTCAAAGGGCCTGTACTGCTTTTACAGTGTCACACTGTGGGTCTGACCGGGTAGGAGGACAAAGACTTTTCTTTCTTTCTTTTCTTTTTTTTTCAATTAATCTGCAGAAAACGGAAATTCAGAAGTAAGTAGCAAGCAGCCAGGTGAAGTGGTGAAGACCGAACTAGCAAGTGGCAGAGAGCAAGGGTTTAATAATCATTCTCAGAGACACTCGGGAGATGGGGAGAGCCGAGCAAGGCAGAGACAAACTTCAAGGCTATTTACAAAGAAAGACTGGTGTCCAACCTGTCGGCAGAAAGACACAGGAAGCTGGCTGGGGTGGCCTCTTGAGTACAGCATGCTCTGGGCCTTGGAGGGGTGGAGTGATGTTGGCGGGTTCCCCTGGGTGGGAGAGCTGCTTGCAGTCCAGGAAGAGAGGCAGGCCAAGCTGGACAGAGGCCAGCGCTGATTCCTGGGGTGCGTTGGGCCCCGCCATCTGCTGAGCCAGATGAGCCCAAGGTCAAAATGTTTCTCTGGTAGATGAGAAAGCAGAGCCAGACATCCCTTATGCAAACTAGTTATTAGGGTTAATTAGCAATTATGAAAATTAGCCCACTGATTGTAGTTGGTCATAATGGCAGCATTACGGGAGAGACAGACTCCTGTGGCCCCATTTGACTCAGACCCCTCTAAGTCTTCATGCTAACCATTCGTGACCTTGAGTTCTGTCCTTGGCCTGCATAGTCTGGTTTTAATGAAAATCAAGCTGGGCTGGTTGGATGAAATCTCTCACCTTTAGCCAGGCATGGCCTCACACTCTGTTGAACCCAACATTTAGGAGGCTGAGCCAGGAGGATTACGAGTTCAAGACCAGCTTCCTGTCTCAAAATTAGAAAGGATCCAACTGCATGGCACCAGGTTGGAGAAAGACAGAAATTCAAAAATCCAAAGTACAGTTTCTGTAATACATACCAAGGTGATGTCTAGAATCACAAGGGGTGTTCTGGGTTCAGGCTTGAGCTGACCTCTCATGATGTCTTTAGCCGAAGTGTCTGTGTACCTACTTCTCTACTAGTGGTCCGTGCAGTGGGGCGGGCCTGCCATGGGTTCGGTCCCTTGCTCCTCATAGTACGGCAGTGAGGACTGAACTAATGTGTCCACTGCACAGATGGGACGCTGGCTTGTCTGCAGTCCTCGGTGGACAGCGCTATTAAGCCTGGTGCCTGTCATGCTGAGCCACCCGGAAGGAGGCTTGGCACCTGGGAGCCAACTGCCATCATCACCATCATTCCTAGTTGTTCTTGAATATACTGAGAAACAGATGAGGGCTGCAGATATCAGCCTTCTCTGGGCAAGGCCTGGTCCAGGGACCCATTTGGGAGCCTCAGTAAAGGGTGTTAGGCCCAGATGATTATTTAGTGTCTCTGACAGCAAGGATTGTCCACGTGGAGATCCTGGGGACAAGAATGTCGATGTTGTCCCCATGGTTCCATCAGTTCACTAACTGTCAAGGGGTCTGAGCTCAACTGCTTAGATCAGAAGAAAAAAAAAATACAATAAATAATTAAATGAGTGTAGTTAGAGGGAAGAGTTATGTTCTAATTTTTTATTGTATAGGAAGGTAGTTATGGCTGACAATAATTAATTGTGTATGGATTACTCAGCAAGATCCTGCCAGAAGAAAAGGAGAAAAGGGAGGAGGAAGAGGAATTAAAGGAGG